AAAAGTGAAAAGACAATGCACAAATTTGGAAAAAAACCTTAACTAATAAACACTCAGACAAAGGTCTGCTCTCTAGAATTTAGAAAGAACTAAAAAACATTAGGGCCTCTAAATTTAAAGACCCAATCCTGAAATGGGCACCCGAGATGAACACACACTTCTCAGAGGACAAAATTAAAGAAGTGAATAAATATAGAAAAAATGCTTCACATCACTAGCCATCTGTGAAATGCAAATTAACACAACACTGAGATACCATCTCACCCCAGAAAGAATGGCTATCATAAAGAAATCAACCAACAACAAATGTTGGAGAGGCTGTTAGGAAAAGGGACCCCTTCTCCACTGCTGGTGGGAATGCAGACTTGTACAACCATTATGGAAATCAGGTAAAAAAAAAAAAAAACACTAGGACTGGAAATCATTAAAAAACTAGGACTGGAAATCCCATTCAAGCCAGCTCTCCCCCTACTCAGAATTTTCCTGGAGGAATGGAAAACATCATATTGTAGTGATATATGTGTACCTATATTTATAGCAGCACAATTTGTGATAGCCAAAACTTGGAAAGAGCCAAGATGCCCATCACATGAGGAATTATTGAAAAAGATGTGGTATTTTTATACAATGGACTATTACTCAGCTATAAAGAATGATAAACTTGAAGACTTCATATTTAAGTGGATGCCACTTGAAGATATATACTTATAAGTGAAATACACAAGACCCATATGTGTAAATATCATATAGTCTACCTAGTATAAGAACTCAGAAGAAGAAATACAAATAGAAAGGTATAACACAATTAAAAGGAAAGCAAGAACTTGAGTATTAGACAACGAGGAGAAGGCAAAGAGAAAAGCTGGGAAACATGACAGGGGCAAAGCCATACATTTACATGCACAAGATGGGTAAGGCATTGATCCTGAGAACCATCAGCAGGTTTTTGAAGCTAGCAGTTAATTGGTAAGATTATCCCCCTGACTAACTATACATGCTGATACCTGTGAACCAAGCAACTGCACTGAAGATAGCAATGTGTAATAGAGGGGTCACACTTGGAATGCCTGTCTTCTAAATATGTACTGCTTGTCATGACATACCAATTATTACCATACAGTCTCTCAAGTAAAAGTTTTTTTTTTAAATAAAGGGTAATGAAAAAAGACACAAAATTAAAAAAATGTTACAGAACTGTCCTCCTACAATGCTGTATATGGTTAGATTTCTAAATTTCTGTGTAAAAATATATGTGTTTATTCCTTTTTTTTTTTTTTTTTTGGTGGAACCAGGGACTGAACTCAGACCCTTGCACTTGCCAGGGAAGTGCTTATTCCACTGACCCACCTCCCAGGCCTCCTATTTTTTTTAATTATTTTTTTCTTCATATTCTGTAGGGGCTTAAAGTTTAACATATAAATACTTGATGGAAAATACCTGTTCCATATTATGCCTAAGAAGTTTGATATTTGGACAGATATTTAGGGTAAACCGAACTGCATATGTTGCAGGGTAATAATCAGCTTCTCTTCTGAAGGGTTAACAACCTAAGTTTGCAGACCAAAAATTAGAGAAAAGGAAGGGCTACAAGGTCAGCCAACATTTTCGTCCTAGCCTTTCAAGGTCAGTGAAGACTCAGGATATAGGAGAACCTATACTGTAACATCATGTAACTCCAGTTGTGCCCCAAATTTTCTGATCAAGGAGATTATGGAGCCACAGAGCAATGTGATCGATGATGTATAGTGTACCTAGGGAGTGTCACATGGAGAGAAAACATTCAGGCTTTCACAGAGAGAAAATTGGTCAAGCAATGGCCATGACTCATCCACATGGTTGACACTGACAAAGGATCTACAAAGTGTGTTACAGGGTTACAGGATAAATCCTGAGGGTACTTGACTGACCTTATCATATACAAAAGTTACAATTCTTGTTATATAGGTCTTGCTTTATCTTGATCTTAACCATCCGGCAGAAAAGTATAAAAATGAGATATATAAAGTAAAGCCATATTAATATGCTGAGCTATGAAAGGCTCAAGTCAACAATTGTGGATAAACCACTACTATTGTGGACTGCCAGACTGTGTTGGATTGTTTTGCTGAATTCGTGCACCTATAGTATTTAGATGCCAATGGAATACCCATCTCTGACAGGACTAAACAAAAAAGAGGATACAAAGTAAAGACCATTTTGTATTTGCACTTAAAGAATAGTTAGGATAGATATAGAGCTAGTTTCACTTAATTCAGTGAGAAGAAAGATTTGTACTAATAGTGTTTGGACAGGATATCCTGTCTGCTTCTCATACTATGGATAACTACTAAGAAGATAACAATGTACAATGTATTAATTGTTGAAACTGTCCTCTTACTCAGTTTTGAAGCTGTCTCATTGCTATTTATTTCTCCATAAAATAAAATAAGAAAATTCAAAAACAAGGCAATATACAACAATGTTATAGATTTTCAAAACAGGAATAGCTAATTAACAATGGTTTTTATATTATCTATTTTTATCATCAAATCTTTTGCTCAGATTAAAAGATATAGTTATGCAAGATTGGGGAAATAATTGAATATTGGTGCTTGCTTTAAAAAAATCTTAATTAAAAAAAAAATCACTTTTATGGAGCGAGAGATGGTTGGTCAGTCAGTTGGCTGTGTTTTCTTTTCAACTTTATAAATTGTATAATTTACTCTGAATGCTAATTTCATCCTACCAGTTGTCACTAAGTTACAAATAAAAATCCAAAAGCAATAAAAGCAAGCTCAAAAAAAAAAAAAAAAGACCCCGATATCCTCTGAGGGTGACTTCTAGTGAACTAGCTTCCTTCTACCAGCCCTGCTTCCTGAAGTTCCACCCTCTCCCAGTGGTCTTGCAGGCTAACGACCCAGCCGTCCACAGCCATCCATACAACAGACCTCTCTCTGGTGAGCATCCCAGGGCCAAGCTGTAGCACTGAGTATGGTAGAAAGATTGTTCTAGAATACAAGTCTAGAAAAATACCTTTCATACCACCTTTGGGTTCTAAAGAGCTGACCCAAAGACAGGGATGAAACCTGAACATAAATTGTCTTGGTTACTTTTTTTCTCATTGCTGGGACAAAGTACTGAACACCTAAAATTAAGGAAGGAAAGGTTTATCTGGCTCACAGTTTGCAGAGGTTCAGTCTGTAATCAGCTGACTCCAAGACAGGTGATGTGGCAGAAGGGCAACAGTTCTAGGCAGTAGGAGGCAGCCAAGGCAGCAAGAGCAAAAGAGGAGGATAACAAGCCTTTTTCCTCCCTTATATTGTAAGCAAGCTACCCCTCCTAGGGTAGCTGTATCACTCACACCATCTCCATACCCTCCTCTTGGGCAAGAGGATGATATTTACAAAGTGGGACCCCTGGCCTGCTGCTGAATTACTTAGTCAAACTTCTCAATTTCTCAAGTTGACATAATGGAAAACATCCTAGAGCCAGGGGTAAGGGCATGTCCTTTCTATCTCAGGATCTAGAACTACTGACTGACTTAGTTAAGATTTTAGAGTTCTCAGATTGACACAATGTATCAACCATAACACAAGGGTTGCCACAAAGTGCAAATTCCAGGCATGGGGTGATCTGAACCAGTAAACGCACACCTGCATGTATATAACTATGCATATGTGATATGTATGGTTCATGCTGAGCCATGTCCTAGCACATCATGTGGGAAAAAAAGAAATCTTAAAGGAATGGGGGAGGAGAGACAGATAGACAGACAGACAGACAGAGAGAAAGAGTGAGAGAGGGAGAGAGAGAGAGAGAGAGAGAGAGAGAGAGAGAAGACAGAGAGAGACAGAGACAGAGACAGACAGACAGACAGACAGTGATTTCTCAATAAAAACAGAACCCCAAACGCAAA